ATGTAATATTAGAATTTTCTGAGACAATGAATTTTGGTTTTTCTTTTGTATTCCCCCAGTAAGAGGTTTTTATTTAATAGAATTTTTGGACAAAAAAATCACAATATATCACCTTGCTTACAGTATCGAAATATATCGGGATATATCGTATCGTGACCCCTCTGTTATGATATGTATCGTATCACTAAATTCTTGCCAATACACAGCCCTAACTACCTCACTCTGCCCCACATTGCCTCACACTGTCTCACTCTGCCCCACACTGCCTCACTCTGTCTCACACTGCCTCACTCTACCTCACTCTACCTCACTCTGCCTCACTCTGCCCCACTCTACCTCACACTGCCTCACACTGCCCCACACTGATCTCAGTCAGKTTAAAGGTCAAAGGTCATGGTTTATTTGGATGGTTTAAAGTGTTTCCTGTTCTGATCTTGATTAAAACCTGATGTTTGTTTCTTCTCGTCCTGCAGGGACCTACAGGTCTGACTGCAGGGAGGACCAGGGTCCAGCTGTAACAGGACTCACCATGAAGCTGATCTCAGCTCAGAGCTCCAGACCTCCCCACCCCCTCTGGACTGATGGTCAGACACTGGACTGGTGTCAGGGTGGTCCTCAGCTKGTTTTAAGGACTGTCCTCCTGTGAAGACCCCACTGAGTGAAGCTGGTGTTCAGACAGAAGCACGAAGTGAAGAAAAGATGTTGACCTTCTTAGAGTTAAMGATCTGAACCATTAACATGTTTAGAGTTTAATCACAGCTTCACTGAGACCACAGGAGGACTTCACAGAAACTGGATCTGATCCACATTAACCTAAACAAGCTTTGACTGAACAGAAAGACTTTTTATTTAGGAAACATCTGAGAGAAAAACTCTCCTTAAACTTTAAACTTTATTCTACAGAACTGGTCAGGCTTCTTCACACTGCATGGTCTCTGGGCTCAGACAGGACCTGGGTGGTCCCTGGGTTCTGACAGGTCCTGGGTGGTCCCTGGGTTCTGACAGGACCTGGTCTGTGGGCTCAGACAGGACCTGGGTGGTCCCTGGGTTCTGACAGGACCTGGGTGGTCTCTGGGTTCTGACAGGACCTGGGTGGTCTCTGGGTTCTGACAGGACCTGGGTGGACTCTGGGCTCAGACAGGACCTGGGTGGTCTCTGGGCTCAGACAGGACCTGGGTGGTCCCTGGGCTCAGACAGGACCTGGTCTTTGGGTTCTGACAGGACCTGGGTGGTCTCTGGGCTCAGACAGGACCTGGGTGGTCCCTGGGCTCAGACAGGACCTGGTCTTTGGGTTCTGACAGGACCTGGGTGGTCTCTGGGCTCAGACAGGACCTGGGTGGTCCCTGGGCTCAGACAGGACCTGGTCTTTGGGTTCTGACAGGACCTGGGTGGTCTCTGGGCTCAGACAGGACCTGGGTGGTCCCTGGGCTCAGACAGGACCTGGTCTTTGGGTTCTGACAGGACCTGGGTGGTCTCTGGGCTCAGACAGGACCTGGGTGGTCCCTGGGCTCAGACAGGACCTGGTCTTTGGGTTCTGACAGGACCTGGGTGGTCTCTGGGCTCAGACAGGACCTGGGTGGTCCCTGGGCTCAG